CAGCAGCAGATATGAAAAATCTTACGTAAGGATATGTACGACGCCTCCCCCCCTTCCCCATGTAATTATTTATCAGAATTTAACTAACTCCCTCTCTCCAACCCTAGTCATGCTTACGTAATATATGGATGGCTCTATGGCACAAGTTATTATAATGAAAGAAAAAGAAAGAGAGAGAGATCAGAATATCGCAATTTAATAACGTTTTTTAGAAAATCAACCATTACGCGATCGATTTAATACCAGCGAAATTCAGCAGGTGTTTTGTTTTGCATAAAAAAATTATTCATGAGAGAACTATTTTCGCAAAAGGTACAAAAGTTGCGTACTTGAAACTTATATAAACTTTTACACGGTTTGTTCTTGTTCACGAATTCGTAGGAATTCCATCTTTATTATAAAAAACATGTCCATCTTTTCAATTTTAAATATTAAACGTTTCAGATTGTTGCAAGTAATATAATACTTTTTTCTTTTTTTCTTAGAACATAGAGATAGGTTTATGTTTTTTGTATATTTTTCAGATTTCAACAGATATCATGCCATCAAGAAATTCAAATTTAAAGATTTAAAAATATTATAACTCTTATAATGATTTTCTGTAGCAATACTACGTAATCTCTGTTTCGATATGGTATGCATCAACGTCTTTGATCAAAAAACTTTGAAATTTTTTATGTTTCTTTATTGTATTTTTAAAATGTTTTATGTTCTCTAAATAATACTTTTTTAATTAATCAGTATACTCAAATTATAGCCTTTTTAATGTTCAATTAAAATGTGAAATAATAATGTCGAGAATTTTATTGTTAATTCTATATTCTATATTCTATATACATTTTATATTCTCATTTTTAATCTTATTTTATTTTTACTTTATTATGCTATAGAATACATAACAGTAAAGTAAGATACTGAAACCTTCACCAGCTGCAATGAATGATATTATTTAAGTAAGTATATTTACTAATTCATATGTATATATTGCAATACATAGTGTATTATTTTCTTACCGTCGCAAAACATTCTATTGATGCAAAAATCAATCCACCAACGTTGAAATTAAAATTTTTGGTGCCCCTTTGTAATAGAAAGAGTACAATTTTTTGTACGTGTAAGGGAGCCACATACCATTGAACGGCGTATCTGCAATACGAAAAATCGACAATCTTTTTAAAAAAGAAAGGAATATACATAAATAATATTCTGTACGTTGTTTATTTTATAATTAACGTGCTTGCATTTACCTTCAAGATAGATATTTGTTGGCGCGCATGTTGGCGCTAGTAAGTAGTAAGAAAGTATAGATGGCGTGTGTCGAGTAGGTGAAGGGGAGTGCCCTCTCTGACAAGAAAAGTTTGAGAGAATGAATGTGGCGAGCGAAGAGTGAGGTGCGTTCTTGTACATGAGTTATCAATAAATTATTCTTTTTTGATACGCAAGAATTTTCGTCATTACACGAGAAGTTCGGATAATCCACATTTGAAAGGGATTATAATCACAAACGCAGTTAGCGTAAAACATTGGTTCTTCGAGTCGGATCTTCACGGAAAGGCGGAGAAAGCAAAAGGCAAGACCCGCTTCCTTGGAAGAGACGAAATCGGGACGGAACTCGAGGCGATTGGCAAGGGAATCCATCTTTAAGGAACACAAGCATATTTTCGACCACCAGAGGATATCGGTTCGACAAGCACGCTTCAACAAGAACGAGAAAGATTGGCGCTATAGGGTTAGGATCGACGGATACATCTCGCAAACAACCGTAGTATAACAACGCGAAACTTTTGTTAGTCGGGAATAGTCACACCATGTCAAAAAAGGGCGAATTAGCGAAGATAAAGTTGCAAAAACGTGTGGCTAAAGCATCGTTAACAAGATTCGAGACTTATATGAATGATGACATAGACCCGGAATCGTACGAAATCGAAGAAGTGAAAATAAGATCCGCGAAACTAGACGAGGCGTATGAAACATTTACCGCGGCGCAAATAGAAATAGTTGCTAGTGATAATACAGCTTCAGAAGAAGAAATAGCACTAGAATCTGCAGATATAGAAGATAAGTACATAAGGTTGAAGGTAGCAGCTGAAAAGCTAATAAAGGAAAAGTTGAATACTAGCATAAATCACGGTGAGGCCGAACGAACGATTATAGAAGCGCGCGACAATATAAATAACAATGAAAGATTGCAGATACCGGCGTATAACACTCAGGTGAGGTTACCTAGAATTGAGTTGCCGACATTTACGGGTAAATATGAAGATTGGCATGCATTTTTTGATATGTTTAACTCTTTGATTCACGCTAATCCTGATTTGAATGATACTCAAAGGTTTATTATCTAAGATCATCCTTGGAAGGGGATGCTGCAGAAGTCGTATCGTCACTAGAAATTTCCGGCAACAATTATGCGGGCGCCTGGTATAGATTAAAGGAGCGTTACGATAATAAGAGATTAATCGTACAGAATCACATTAGGGCTATTTTCGATCTACCTATAACAAGAAAGGAAAGCGGCGCTGCTATTATATATAGACAAATATTAGACGGAGTGTTAAAATTATACTAGTATAAAATTATACTAGGGCCCTCCAGACATTAAACAGACCCGCGGATCAATGGGATGATCTACTTATACATATAATAACTAGCAAATTAGATATAAGAACGATAAAGGAATGGGAGGATACGATTAATACTACTCAAGGTCCTAGTTTTACAGAGTTGATTGAATTTTTGAAAAGGAGATGCCAAACATTGGAGGCAGTGGAAAAGATGGGAAGTATTAATACAACCAATGCATCATCACGCCCAGGCAGTCACAAGGTTAACAATTGCAACGTCGCCACTGTCAATATTAAATGTTCGTACTGTAAGGGTGAGCACCATATTTATCAATGCAAAGATTTTAAGAGTCTATCTGTTAACTAACGATTTAAGCAGGTAAAGGCTAAGGGTTTATGTCTAAATTGTTTGAGGGGTAACCACTTAATAAAGGACTGTTCCTCCGGAAGTTGCAGGATATGCAGTAAACGACATAGCTTTCTGTTACATATTGAAAATCAGAAAAGTAATTTGGAATCAAAGGCAAGGCAGGTTCAAACGGAACCTGATAAAAAAAGGATTCGGATGAGGTTATATGCAGTCATTCAAGTTCAGTAGAGTTGAAGTATTCGAGTCAGGTATTGTTATCCACTGCTGTGGTAAAGATAAAAGATAAAGATGATCAGTTCGTAAATGCAAGAGCGCTATTAAATAATGGATCGCAGTCAAATTTTATATTGAGTTCATTGGCTAAAAAATTAAAGCTTGATCTTAGGGATTCACCGCTGGAAATAAAGGGCATTGGCCAACAGATATTTAAAGCATTAAAGATAGTAGAATTGCAAATGAGCTCTCAATTTGAATCCTTTACGGTGACAATGCGTAGTATTGCCTGTCATTACCAAGGGTGTTCCTAACATAAGGCTAGATAAACAGAAGTTAAATATACCTGAAAATATTATATTAGCGGATCCTCAATTCCATATTCCAGCAGGAAATAAATTTGTTGATAGGGGCTGAGAAATTTTGGGACCTGCTGTGTGTAGGCCAAATCAAATTAGGTAACGGCAAGCCTGTACTTCAAAAAACGTTATTAGGATGGATTGTTGCAGGTAAACTCGATGTGCCCAGAAATAATCCGCTGAGCGCGTCTTGTTTTCTGAGTTGTATACAGGAATTGAACGATACGTTAGGAAAGTTTTGGCAAATCGAAAATGTTCTAGATGATGTGAAATTGCCTGTCGAGTTTGAACACTGTGAGGAGCATTTCAAGAAAACGTATAAAAGAAACCCGCAGGGCAGATTCATAATTAAATTACCGTTAAAGGAAGACGCAATATACCATATGGGTGAGTCAAAGAGTATAGCCATGAAAAGATTTTTATCTTTGGAAAAGAGATTAAACAAGAACCCCATGTTAAAATCCGAATATATTAAATTCATAAGGGTTTATGAGAATTTAGGGCATATGAAGGTAGTTAACGATTCAAGGAATACGGCGTTGAGAGTTTTGTTACCACATCAGCCGGTAATTAATGAGTCCAGTGCCACTACAAAGGTTAGGGTAGTGTTTGACGCATCCAGTAAGAGTAGTAAAGAGATATCGTTAAATGACACTTTACATAAAGGGCCCACAATACAATCAGACTTGTTTTCGATACTATTGAAATTCCGATGTTTTCGGTATGTTTTATGCGGGGACATAACTAAAATGTACAGGCAGATAGTAATGCATGAAGATCATACCTCATTACAGACCATTTTGTGAAGAGAAACTACTAGTGAGCCCCTAAAATCA